AGTAAGCAGCGACTGCGCTTGGGCTGCGCTGCAGTGTGGGCAATATTATGAGTATCTATTTGTTAAGAAATTTAATTTCTAGACGTACACTCTTAATGAACCTTTCAGAACGTAATCATAATGTATGTATATACCAAAGCACAGTTATCGGATGATTTATCGTAAAATTAGTATACACGAGTATGCATGCCAGAATTAAGCTTGCCAGCTTTTGTATCTTCTGAGATCGACGCACTCATACGGACGAACGGACAGATGACTCAGAATATATTTACTTTATGGGGTCTTCGATGATTCCTTCTGCCCGTTACATACTTTTTCACAAAACCATCAAAGCCTGTAAACTTCTCTACTCAATTAAATAAGCATAGGTGTTGTAGAAGCGGAAGTGTTCTCTTTATTACAGTGAGCGATAATCGCTGTAATTCAAACATAGGCTTAATAATAGTCGGGAATAAGCTATATTTATTTTCTCATAAATCAATAATTTCATGTTAATATATAAAAGTTAAACTCGCAGGCTAGACATTTAAAGCAGAGAATGATTGAAATCTACGATAATTTAGGGCTACATGTATATGCGATGTACAACCACTCCTAAATCAGCTTGATATAAATTAGCATATTTCTGTTTGATTCAAACGTGTCTGCATATATTCAAATATTTAGTCTATATATACTAAAACTGCGCTACTCGAATATCGTTTTCCATAACTTAATTGCTCGACTGTTTATGGGCATGATTATGGGGCGCGATCTAAACGGTTACCAAAAAATTGTTACAAACCGTTTAAATAGGAAAAGCCACAAATCAATTTCGCGCTAATAACGCCGTCATTTCAATTAAAATGCGGTTAAAGTGCGTATTAATCTGATAACAACGAAATACCAGCAACAACATAAAAACGACAACAACAACGACAGCCAACAAAACGAATAAAATGAATAAAATGTGCGGAAGCGGCAATGGAATGCAGCTCGCATGTTGCACATCAAACCAGCCACAAAAGCTAACCGACAAATTGAGGGCAGGAGAGGAGCGGCTGGTGGGCCCGCAGGGGGAGGAGTAGGTTAGTAAACTAAGCCACAAAATACAGCCGCAGAACACAACCCAGCAACAATTTATTTTGTATTTTATTCCATTTTCATTTCGAATGCACGCCAGACCTTAGCAGCGGGCCGTGAATGCTTCACACCGAAACTATACATATGTGTGTGTGTGTGTGTGTGAAAGAGAGGAGTTCGATGTGTTTGGGTGAAAGAAAGCGCTATGTGTGTGTGTGTGAATCTTTGTGTAAAGCGTGCAAGAGAGCGTGGGAGAGCATTGTGATTGCCATGTATTTATGTCGGTTTGTGTGTGTGTGTGTGTGTGTGTGTGTGTGTGCTCGCTTTACCGTTCAAATAAATCCGCTGCAATAAAAATGCCATCAATCGCATAGCCAAAATGCAACAACAACACTCAGAGCAGAGGCGGGCAACAGCTTAAACGCTGATTGACACTGACATTGTGACGTTGTCAATACCAATATCCACGTCTGTGCGGCCACAGGACACCATGCGTGTCCTGCCTCCGCTCCTCGTTCACTAAAAACTGGTGCATGTCACAAATTAGTTGCGGAAAAAACAAGAACAAACAACAAAACGCAACGACAAATTAGCCATAAACAGCGAGTGGTTTTATTTGCGGTTTATGCAACCAGTTTTAATCCTTGAGCAACAACAGCACCGACAGCAATAACAACATGGCTGGCTGACCAAAAATATTTGCGAGCAAAAATGTTGATTGCATTTAAAATGCAATTATTTAAGGCATGCGTCCGTGAAATGCCGCTCAACCGACTGCACTAATGAACTGGATCCGAACTGAGCGAACGGAACTGCCAGTAGGAGAGTGTGGAAGAGCGGGTGTGGGAGTGGGAGTGGGAGTGGGAGTGGGAGCGGGAGCATATCGCTTGTCTGGACAAAGGCCATGTGCAAACAGCAGACGAAGAGCTGCAAACGCACTCGTGCATCGAGAGTGCCTTAAAAAAGAAAGCAGAAAGAGCAAGAAGTAAAACTGAAAGAATAACAAGGGTAAAAAAAAGCTGTTTGCTCCGACGGCACATTCGATAAAAACACTTGAGTTTGTTTTCGAAAGAAACCCGATCCGAACAACAATCCCATTAAGCACAATGAAAACAAATATGATGTAGTAGCTATAAAATCGTATGCTTCTTATATTCTGAATTAAAATTATTTACAGAATGCAGACAGGAAGCGGTGTGTTGACTCGGTCGTCATTCCACCACATAGATATTTATTTCAATTTTCTTAAATTTATTTATTTAAATATTACCTAAATATGTATGTACATATGCATGTACGTATGCAGCTCTTTCTATTAGCTGCATTGGTTTCTGCAAGCTCATAAAAACAGCTTTGGAATTAAAAGTAAGCAAACGCGCTCAGCACAAGTTGTACTCGTTCCACCCTGGAGTTATTTGAATAAGCAACGTAGCCAAGAGAAATGGTTGAGCTTTGGATCATAAGAGAAGAGTCAGGCACTCTCAGTGGGAAGATAAACAAAGAGCGCTGCGAATAGAATTTGCAAGTGTGCGTGTGGGAATCAGCTTGGAGATATATGTATATGTATACGTATGTAAACGGCATAGGCGAGCAAGCAGACTTGGCGCTAGAGCGCTTCTCTCCTAATTGCTGGAGGATCCACAACCTCACACATACCAGCACGATGAGCAGCCGCAAATCACAATTGAGTGATAGGATCCACTGAGTCTTTTAACAGTGTGGATTGCAAATGGCGAGTCTATTAGAGCTGAGTCTTTTAGCGGTGACTTTCTGGAGCGCTTCTCTTATGATTGCTGACAGGATCCACAGCTTCACACACACCAATAGAATGTTATGTGTAGATGGTCGGCAGTTCGTAATGTTACTTATTTGAGCACTCACACTTCAGTTACTCAGTTGTCAACGAGCTTTTGCTTCGATCGCAGTTGTTGAAAGTTATGAGTGCAAGTGATTATTATAATATGGACACACATACACATACTTATAATATTTAATATTTGTAAGTATAGCTATATTTAATTTCATTACAAATTTAAAAAAATCTCAAGTCAATAATGATTATTATTAATTATTATTATTAATTAAGAAAAAATCAACTAATTCAGATTCTTTTACGGCACACATACACATATATAGGTACACATACTCACATACACACACATACACAGGAAATTTCTGACTCAAAAATAATTGAATAATAAGCATAATGATAAAATATAAACAATTTGCTAGGTTTCTATTTTTATTTTTTTTTTTAATACACGTTAAACAACAGTATTTGCAAAACAATTGTCCAATTATTATATTAACTTTTTGTAATTTCATATTTACCTGAATCCCGTTCTACTTAACTAACACACATAAAAATGTGCTGCAAGGCAGGATAACTTTCCGCAAAAATCTTTAAATATTGATTTAAGTCAGGCCCCAACTTGAATATATAAATATAAATTCATAAAAATAAGAATTTCATTTAATCTCCCATAAAAAGAAAGAAAAGGCAAACAAGCAGTGCCACAAAATGGCTTTTTGATTGATTTGCGATTGACAGCTTTGACGTAGAGTTTTCAGCCCTTTGTTTTGTCATCGGCGCCGCTTATAAATAAAACAAAATGCACACACATAAATATATAAATAAATACATGTATGGGACCTATGAGCTAAAGTTGAAAAATCAGAACAAAGATGCGTGGCATGCACAAAAAAATGGGGAATATTTATTGCCTTGAATTGGCATCGAATGAAATATGCCATCAGAATTGTCTGAATGTCGGCTCTGACACCTTTTCAATGTGTTCTCAATGAAGCGTGAATACGGGCACCCATATGCACACAGACTCTCTCTCTCTCTCTCTCTCTCTCTCTCTCACACACACACACACTCATGCATGATATTTATGTCTTTGACATCAATCAAAGGGCAATGCGAATTTCCGACTCAATTTTGCTTCGAGCCTTAAACAAACAGCTCAAGGCTAAGTTAGGCGTACGAATTTCGTGTCGGTGTGTTTGTGGGTGAGTATGTATGTGTGTGTGTGTGTGTGTGTGCGGGGGAGTGTGTGGATAAATGGGCATGTGTGTGTTGTTGCTTTGTTTGTTTGTCTTTTCGCTTTTCTTGACGCTCTTGAAATTGCTTGAAGTTTGGCTTATTTGAAGTATTTGCGCTCTGTCGAATCTATCACTTTATATTTATGACTTTGACTATGGTCGAAATTAACATCAGCAACAACAACAACAACAACTGCCCATATAAGCAAGAGCAGAACAGCTAATGTAACAACAACAAGAGCCACAAGGGCCACAAAAAGCCAGCAGGAAAATCAACGCAATGCGCGCTTAAATACCACTTTGTTGTTATTTATGACGCCAGCTGATGAAAAGCCAAATGCCAAAAGATTAAAAGCTGATAAAATATATTTAATAGCCCTCATATGTATGTACTTTCGACCAGCCAACACTATGAACTCCCCAGATATATGTAGCTGAGTGGCTGGGCACAGTGGGACGAATGCGATGGCATAGTGAAGAAACCTTTGTACATTCAAAAACAAGTATATCAAATTGATGTGAATTCATCTAGTCAAAGTTCAAAATCAAACCAAATTTTAAAAAAGAAATAGAAATTTTAAAAATTAACTTTAATATCAGCGGCAAACATTCTTTTAATTTCCAGTAAAACCTGCTCTGAAAAATTAATCCAAAGAAACTGTTCAGATAATATGAGCAAACAAAATTTTCGATTATTTAGTAATTAAAAATAATAATAATTGCATTAGAGACATCTTCAATTTTCTACTTTTCAACACTACTCAGCCCACTGTGCCTGCAATATATCAAACATTGACATGCGGTCAACAAAGTGCGTTCAATGACGTGCATAAAAACCAAAGGCAGCTACAACAGCAACGGCAGGAGGGAATGTGAGTGGAGAGGCTGGGGCAGGGGAGTGCTGGCTGTGGGGAGTAGCACTCAATCAAGCGTGGAGACAGGGGACACACGCTGTCCCAGCTTTGGGTACATTGACTGTCCGCCACATAAAGACGCACAGAAGCAGCCAGAGCGGTAAAATATTGTCGAGTAATCGCTGTCGAAACGCTCGTCGAATGCATTGACGCTATAAAGACACACAATGACGTTGTAAAAAGGAGAGAGAAGAAATAACAGTCAGATGGACAGAGAGACAGGGGCAGACAGACGGAGCGACAGGCGGAGAATACGTATAAAAATGCTGAGACGAGTCCGCGTGCAAGTAAAAGATGTCAACAAGCAGCAAGCCGGAATGGAAGCCATTCGGGTGGCGCTGGCTTAAGTGAGCTCCACAAATAGAGCTGACCAGAGGGAGAGGGGCGACTGAGCGAGTGAGACAGACGGGGGGCAATAGGGGCGGCGTGGGGTCGCTCCTTTGGCAGTTGACCAGTGCACATATACATGTATATAAAAAAAAGTTTGGATTATTTTTGTAATGTTTTCAAATATTTTGCGTATAAATTTTACAGTATTTTTTACTTGCTCAGATTTAGAATTTTAAATTAACAGAAAAATGTTTAAGGGAGCCAGCAAAGATAAATATATACATACCTATATATGTATATATATGCAGTACAACAATAATAATATATATATAATTTATCAAAGACAAACAAAGAGTCACATTCAGTTATTATACAGAATATTCAAATATATATTTTAAAATGCATAAAGTATATATTATATTTAACGTTTTTACAAAATTGATAATGATTGGATTTATTCGAAACATTATTTACTGGTAGATATATTTAGTATATTATATATATTTCATATTATTTATACACTTTATTTGTTTTTAGCATTTTATACAAACTCAAAATGGGAAAACTCTTTTCCCCGCCCCTGTATATTATTTGCAGTCTGCTTATTTCGATTCCATAATTTTGATTACATGTGCTCCAGCTAGCTCGCTTTGATTATAATTTGCTTGGCAGCTGCATTCGATTAATGAAATCCCATTGCTGATTTTGAGGTTTATGAGCCAAACGTGCCAATTTAGCTGTTGGCCAGACAAACAGCAATTGGCCCAAGCCGCAGAGTGCAAAATCAATAAATTAAGAAGCAATACTCATATTGCCCATCCCAGCTAGAGGGGCTAGCCTAGGCAACTACTATTAAATGCATTCCACCACCAACGCACCAGCCATAGCAATTTTCTTCAACGTTCCCTCATCTGCCTGGCCCCCGACCCGCCCCGGCCGGCCCCGCCCGGCACCGCCTCGCCTGGCTGAAGCCAATGTCGTTTTGGCTTTGGTAACGCGCAAAATAAATGAAAATATAAACCCGACTAACCAAAAACTGATTACTACAAGAGCTCAAGCACTCATGAAGCGCCCGCCTCTTATTCACTCCCCCTACCGCCCTCCCGCCCTCCCTGCTCTGCCACCCGGTCCTCTAACTCTGCTTTCTTGCTCTCATTCGCAGGCAACCATGGTGGCAACACTGGCGATAACAATCAAACGCCCGTGCGTAATCCGCCCGGAGCATTTCACAATTCTGCAGGCTCACTGGCACAGCATAATCTACTTGGTAAAATAATGCGCGGCATTAAAACGCAATCATTTGGGATTTTCAAACGTTTATCGAGTTATTTGCCGGCGGCGCTGCTGGCGTCGCTGCCAGCGTCGACAAGTCGATGGCGTATGAGTAATATGAAAAGCCAAGCCCACATTCAGCCACTGGAGACTGCTGTCAGCGTGCAGTCAAACATAAACAGCAGCAGCAGCAGCAGCAGCAGCAGCAGCAGCAGCGGCAGCAGCCAAAGGACCAGCCACAGTAGCAACACCAACAACAGCAACAACACCAACAACAACAACCAGACCAGCAATAGCAATCGATGGGCGTGGCAGCCAGAGCCGCGCATATTTCACATAGCTCATACGCCGCGTGTGACGACGCAATGCGATTGGCCAACGCTCATTTGCATAGTAATATTGTCAGCGGGCATTGTTGTTGTTGTTGCCACGGATGTTGTTGTTATGCCCTTGTTGCTGGCGCTGCATTTTATCGGCAGCCGGATCGCATTTTCTATTAGTGCGGCGCATAGGCAACATTTAATGCTAACATTTTCGGCTGTTGGTAATAAGGTTGCCGCATTGTTGCCGCAAATTTATACAACAACAGCAGCAGCAATAGCAGCAGCAGCAGCAGCAGCAGCCGGAGCAGGAGGTGCGGCAGGAGCAACCCAGCCAAACACATTTAGTGTGCTTTGCCAGCGCTGGCATTCGAGATGAAATCAAATAATTGCAAAAAACTCATTTAGGGCACAACAACATGACGGAGCGGATGAAGAAGTGGAGCCAGAAGAAGACGAAGAAGAAGTAGTCGAGCTAGAAGAAGCAGCAGAACAAACCGCACGCCAAGAGCGTGCAAAACAGAATCAAACTTAGACAAGTAAGTGAAAAGTATAAAAAACAGCATAAAAGTTGTGCAAAGCAAACAGCACAAGAAATACAAATGGCATACTCATATGAACATATACATATATCATATGAACATATATATCAACTGTATAGCACTAATCGTTAAATGTTTCTCATGCTAAATGGCAACTGCAACTGGCGTGGCCTTTACATACATTCAGTTTTAAATTGCCAATCAGCAGCAGTTGAAGAGCTCTTGGCTATTTCGTTTCTCAGTTTCCAAACAGATTCTCTAATGCAATTAATCAAGCATTGAAATGCGAAGCAATGCCGCAACGACTCCAATTCATTTTAAATCAACTTGCATTCAAACGTCCTTTACAAATCAAAAATAAATAAGAAATTCCCAATCAAACCCAAGCTGACTGCAAGCTTAATGAGAGAATTGGTGTTCCTTATTATTATATGATATTAGATATTATTATGATATTAGATATAGACATTAGAGAATAATTTGCGAACCCAACTGGATTACAGCTGAACTGCTTAAGCTGGATGATGAGGATGTTTTATAGGTCTGCTTTCGCGCTTTTGTTGTCTGGACTTTGGATTATGCTGACAGGTGCTCGCCATAAAAAGGAGCGTGGGAGGATTGATTTCAATGCTTTGGGTATTGGTTGATGATATCATTGATAAGAGTAAGAGTAGTAAGATGTTGGTTTCTGAAATTATTTATTGTATTTGCTTTCGTAAATTTTCCTTTTTCTTTTTGTTGAAAATCCAGTCCCGAAATAAGATCACACAGTAGTTGTTATACTTTGTATTATGACTTATATTTTGATTTAAGCACGGCACAACACATCGATCTACACAGCTCAAGAATCGCAGCAAGACAGATCGCGACGCAGCAACATTCAATGCGTGCTAGTCGAATTCGTCAGACAAATAATGTTTCTAGACTAGCGTTGCGACAGCCGACATGACGATCGTAATCGATTTAATTTTTAAGATTTAAGATTTTGTGTTTCTTATTAGTCTGTGCATCGTATGAAGGGGTACCTGCGTCAATAAGTGTGTCTGCGGGAGTTCTGTTCGCTGTCAAGCGTTTTGTCTTGTGGCTGTAAATGTATAGAATAGTTTCGAATTTAGTCTGCCTGTTCTCTATGTCAGATTTTGTACTAATGATTCTTAATTTCTCATTGATCGTTCTGTGAAATCTTTCTATGTCGGCGGTGCCTTTCTTACTAGTGGTTATACTGATGTTTACGTTTTCATATTTTAGCCAGCTTTGAAGGGCTGCGCATATAAGCGCTGAGTCTTTGTCTGCTTTAATTTCTGTGGCTTTTCATTTCATGTCATTGAAGATTTTTATGATTGCTCTTTTAGTTTCGAGTCAATCACGGCCTTTAAGTTCAACTAAATTTCCCAATTTTGAATATATATCGATACAAGATAGAAATTGTTTGTTATCGATTAGATAGAAGTCCATGACATATTTTTCTCTGGGGCTGTATATTTCTGGAGTGATTTCAAGGTTTAATTTTGTGTTTCTATTTTCAGATTTAGATAGATTACACATTTCAATTTTGTTTATGATATTTTGTATAAGCTTTTGTGGTCTGGGAAGTAGAATTTTTCTCTTTGTGATACCGGGGTGAGGAGGTTCTTAAGGTTTTGGTTTTACTGTCGAGTCATGTTTTCTGCGTACGCTTTTTGAAATGTTTGGAAGTCTGAGATGCTTTCAAAGTATAATGCGTTATTCCTTAAACAGAGATATTCTTTAATAGCGTCTTTGGCAAATGTGGCAGTCATTTCTTTCATGAGTTCTATTTGTCTGCTATATGAGTTTAAGAGTCTTTCTGAAATGGAAATAAGCTTTGATTATCTTCTTGACCACTGCAAATGGTTGCTAGCGAGCTATTAACTTCTTCCTAGGAGATTTTCGTCTAGTTTGATTTTAGAAAGGGCGTCAGCTACATAGCTTTCTTTTCCTGGTAGGTATTTGATATCGTGATATTTGATATTTGATATCGTAGTCGTATTCGCTTAGTTTGATCATCCATCTTTGTAGTTTCGTATTTGGTTCTTTTATATTATGTAGCCCCATTAGTATGGGGCTAAGTATTTGGAATTTTCGACCGAAGAGATACGATATTTGGCTGCCCAAACGATAGCTAGTAATCATTTTTCTATCGTGTTCGTTTAGAGTTCTGCAAGCAAAGCAAATTGCTTTGTGATCTTGTGAAAGAGCTGCTCCTATAGCTACATTGCTTGCATTTGTGGTTAGTGAAAAAGTTTTATTGAAGTCTGGGTATATTAGTATGGGGTCACTTGTTAGGAGTGCTATTAACATTTCGAAGGCTGAGATGAAATCTTGGTTTCTTATATCGATTTTCGTGTCTTTCTTTAATCCTAATGTGAGGGGTTTTGCTATTTTAGCAAAGTTTGGGATAAATTTGCGGTAGAATCCACAAAGACCTAAGAAGAGTTTGATTTCTTTGGGTGTCTTGGGAATTGGAAAATTGATTATTGCTGTTATTTTTTCAGAGTTTGGTTTAATTCCTTCTGTGGTAATAATATGTCCTAAGAATTCTGTTTTTTTCCTCAAAAATTCACATTTATCTAATTGTAATAACAGGTTAGCTATGTGCAATCTGTGCAATACTCTTATGGAGGTTAAATGTTCTTCTAATAAGGATGAAAAGATAATCATGTCATCGAGATAGATAAACCATCTTTATAGATTAAATCTTCTAATATGCATCTTTGGAATGTTGCTGGGGCGTTTTCAAGACCGAAAGGCATATAGTAGGGTGAGCGTGATTTTCCATAGATTTATCTAGGTGTTTGTTGTGTTTTTTTCGGTGAATATATCACTATATATTTATATTATATTCCTTCTATTCTTATCATACTAGTAAAAAGGAGAACTTTAATTATTATATACATTTTTATAAAATATTTTGAAACATTTTGCTGATGTCACCTGTAAAGAGAAAGGCAAATATGCTCTTCTTCTCTTCTTTCTTAGACTTTGAGCTTCATTGAAGTGGGGCTGAAATGCTGTCTTATATTACATATGATAATATATTGGAGAACAACTTCTTATTGATTTGCTTTGATCTACTTAGGCTTGAGTTTTCTTATGTAAATAGATGGAATCTCGATCTTCAAGATATTGAGATTTAAGGGAGTTCGCTTATGATTTTTAGCTTGATTTGTTTATTGTGTCAGAATCGCTCCCGATTGGTGACTTTAAGATATGCTGAATACTGGATTCCCACCAAAAGTGTGCAATGTGATCTTTTGTTTATGGGATTCCGAGTGTGGGAGTGAGTGTTATAGCCTCTTTGGTATGTCTGTACGAGTTTTGCATTGTTTATAAAATTAGCAGATGTTTTTGTCGGTAAGCTTGAGCTTAGGGTGAGGTCCTGAAGATGTTTAGCTAAGCTGGAATTTAAGGATTGATGAAGTGGGCTTTAAGCTTAGAACCAACGGCTTTTAAGCTGAATAATAATGAAATTAAATTCAGCTTCCTGAAAATATCGGCATATGTTATCGAGTCTTAGAGATAAGCTCGATATCCGCGCGATATATATGGACATTATTAAAAAAGTTAAAGTCTCTAGCTATTATATCTTCTGAGATCGACGCGTTAAAACACACGGACAGACGGGCGAAAGCAACTCAGCTCGTCCCCTGATCAAGAATATATATACTTGTGGGGTCTGCCACGCCTCCTTCTGCCCGTTACATACATTTCAACAAAACCATTATACATACATATGTCGAAATAGATGTGTTCTGACACATATTGGACCAGGCATAAATGACCTGATGGAGAGTAAAGTACGTAATAAATGCTTGCGATAATTAATTCCAACAAATTCTGCCCCATACATTAATTTTAATTTACAACCAAATTTAGAAATGGCTGCATGCATAGATATTTCTTTATTGAAACGAAC